GAGCAACTACTCACATCTGGTTTGAAAAGGAGGAAGTAAGGATGAGCTTTCTCGGTAATGAACTCCAAAATAAGAGAAGAGAGAAGAGGAAACATGTATGTGGTTACTGAAGGGGTCTGCATGTGTGTGTGTCTGCATGCACGCTGTACTTCTGCATGAGAGCATGGGTGTGTGTTGGTGTGAGTGCTTGCGGTTTCATCATCTGCTGTAACTGTGGCAGTATACTCACACACGCTGCAGAGAGAAATAATAGCCTCGAGTGTAGAGAGGGTGTGATATTTCTGTCTGCCTCAGACTGCATTTGAAAAGCAGCTTATCAATGATGTCGTTCAGCGACTGTCTGACAGCGTGGATATTTGAACATTTAATAATGTCACATAAAGAAAGTCACTGAGATGAGATGAATTTGACTGAAGATCGGTCCTGTTGAAACTTAGTAAACCAGCACGTGTCTGTATATGTGTAAACTTTAACATGCACGGTGCAGATTACAGTTGTATGCAAAAGTGTGTGTGTTTACATGAGTAATGGCATCGAATAGCATCGATTTGCCTAACTGTAGGCTGCAAGTCACAAAGCAGGATTGTAGGATAACACCCACGTGGCCACACGGCATGCAAATCCCAGAGATGCATGGACAGCGTGTGTGTGTGTGTGCGTGTGTGTGTGTGTGTGCATGTGAAATGATAAAAGAGAGAGGAAATCAAGTGGGAGTGAGACGCAGATAAAAAAGAGTCGAAATATGTTTCTGGAAAAGTAAAAAAAAAAGGAGATTAAATGGAAAGATGTCAGTTGGTTAAAGTTTATGTTGTTTATGAGGGAAACGGATGAAGTGGAGAGTGTGTGGGACCCAAAGCTTCACTCTGAGGCTGTGTTGTTATACTTCATGAAGCCTCACATGCTTGTTCTGCAGATAATTATCAATGATCATATCATGAGAAGTGAGTCAGTTAAAAATAAAGCTAATGCTGGCATGGCAACAATGACAATTTGCTTTCTTGCCAAGATAGATAACACTCGTGTCTAGGGTTTACCTCAATGCTGCGAAACTTCAGTTGTTGCCATGGTAAGCGATGTCAAAATCAATATTTGAATGCTCCAAACATCCCAGATTGCCCATAAATTAAGAAACAGCAATCCAGCATAATTCAGTATGCATCAACATTAATTATTAGTTATCCTCAGACAAGGACAAACTTAACGATAGGCCAAGTTTTGTGACTCCGACAGTCTGACCATATTATAAATATACTAGCAAGATGTCTAAAAGCTCAAGCATGTGGAACACTTTAAAAAATTACAAAGATGACTCCCAAAAGGTGGAGTGCTAAAGGAAACTGACATATCACAAATTCAAAATCAGCTTGGCAAATCACCTGAAAACTGAGTAACATCTGAACCTTTGTGCAAAGTAATTTCAAGCAACCTGCATGCTAGCAACGTGGCTAATTGTCATGTTATTTTAGGTGCAATGACAGAAAAGTGATGTTTCAAAATATGTCTTGTCTTTGATCACCCCCACGAAGCTGTGATTAATCGCAAATATTCCTCCACGAAACTTCGATGCCCCAAAACTGGTATTCGGTATAGCAGTTGGGATCAAGTCATTGTTTTACAAGTCTCAAGTCCAAAGTCAAGTCCAACGTCCTAATGATTTTCGAGTCCTGAACTAGTCTTAATGTGCTCTTCAATATAAGAAAAATATTAAATGACCAAAAATCCTAAATGTTTTTTAAAAAATGCAGTTATTAGTTAAATATCCAGTGTTTGGGATTGAGGGGGAAATATTTGCAGAAATATGTAGTGTTTAATAACTGAAAATAAGAATTGTTGTGTTTTTGTTACCTTAGAATGAGCGTTAATGTCTACATAGGGAACGGGTCCTTGTCCATTGAATACGTCATGTTTCTACAGTAGCACAGAACAGACAAACCCAACACTGGCACTAGATAGGACCATTCATGTTTTTGGGTCGACCACCATAGCTGGCAGCCCTTCTGCATAGAAAAACCTCCATTATTTAAAGTGAAACTCCTGTATTCAGCATTTTTACCAGTTTAAATCACTGGGTGAGTGTATTTTCGAGAGGAAGAGACCTCTATGGATAATTTGGTGCAGGTAAAAACCTTCTGAACGTCTGGGTCTTAAGTTATAAGAGAAAAAAGGTGAGGACACATTAGCTGGTGCTGGGCTAGCGGCCTGGCGCCAACAAGCTAAACAGCATTGAAAAGCACTGATTTGAAAGGGAGGAGCGGAGAGGAGTAAGAAACCTCTGTGGACATGGTAAAAACCTCTTAAACAGGGGGGAAGTTTCAGCTGGTTGTAATCTGCAAGATGCCATTAAATCCCCTTAAATATGGGAACTGCCTATTGGTCCGACAGCCCATTGTTCCGACCATATTAAACCCATTGTTCCGAAGTCTGTTGCGAAATCATCATGACGCCCTGTGGTTAAGGTCTGGTTAGGTTTAGGCACAAAAAAACACTTGGTTAGGGTCAGGAAAAGATCATGGTGTGGGTTAAAATAAAAAAGAAAGTGGCAAACACATAAGCTGTGAGCCTGCTTCGCCTGCCGGGAGCCATTCAGCACCGCGGACCGTCGGACTAATGGGCTGTCGGACCAATGACATGGACCCCTTAAATATTACACACTGCTCCTTTAAAATGTTACTCAGCCTTAAGCTAACATTAGCTATGCATTGGCTAACTTTAGCTTAACAGCTAAAGAATGCTAAGCTGAGGCCAGCGTTTGCTTAGCAGTTAACGTTAGCCTCAGCTTAGCATTCTTTGTCCAACTTTAAATGTCGAACAAAGTTGGAAGTTGTTGCGTCATGTCTGTATTTTTCGACCCACACGTTTTATATACTTTAATTTATTGAGTTATAATCTGCAATCCTCACTGCAAGATGCCATTAAATGCCCTAAATGTCCCACGCTGCTCCTTTAAAGGGCCAGTGTGTAAGATTTAGGGGGATTTAATGTTATCTCGTGGGGAGGATTGCAGATTACAACCAGCTAAAACTTCTCCTGGTTGTTCAGGAGGTTTTAACGGGAGCCAAATTATCCAGAGGTCTCTTCCTCTCCAAAACAAACAGACCCCGAGTTTTTCCAAAGCTCTCATGGCAGAGAGGCTGCGAACTATGGTGGCTGACGCAAAAATGTGAGAACAGGAATGGCCCTTTCTAGAGCCAGTGTTCGTTTTGTCCATTCTGGGCTTCTGTAGAAAGATGGCAATGCAACATGGCAGACTCAATGGACGTGGACCCTCTCCCTATGTAGATATAAATGTCTCATTTGAAGGGAACGAAAACACAAAAATTCTTATTTTCAGGTGATTATACATTAAAGAAAACATACTTTTTATATTATATTCCATTTCTGCCAAACTATCCGCTTAAATCCTACACACTGCACCTTTAAAACGGTACTTAGCTGTTGAGCTAATGTTGGCTAAGCATAAGCTAGCCTCAGCTTAGCATTCTTTGTACAACCTTAAATGTCGAACAGAGTTGGAAGTTGTTGCGTTTCATCTGTATTTTTCAAAACCACATGTTTTATATCTCAATTTATTGAGTTATAATCTGCAATCCTCACTGCTAGATGCCATGCAATGCCCTAAATGTTACACACTGCTCCTTTGAAACGTTACTTAATGTTAGCTGTAAGCACCAGCTAACGTTAGATTAACAGGTAAGCATTCTTTGTGCAACTTTAAATGTCTAACAAAGTTGGAAATTGTTGCGTTTTGTCTGTATTTTCCAACCCACACGTTTATATACCTCAATTTGTTGAGTTAATTTCTGCAATCCTCACTGCTAGATGCCATTAAATGCCCTAAATGTTACACACTGCTCCTTTAAAACGTTACTTAGCTGTTAAGGTAACGTTAGCCAAGCACTAGCTAACAGCTTGGCTTTCTTTGTGCAACTTTAAATGTCGAACAGAGTTGGAAGTTGTTGCGTTTTTGTCTGTATTTTTTGACCCACACGTTTTATATACCTAAATTAGTTTTTTTGTTGAACATTGTGTAGTTATTGTATGTAAACAAAATTATCTTTGGAGTCAGTTTTTCCAACTGGCGCTCAGTAATGTAACATTAGCTCATCATTGTTCTGTCCTGCAGCTTTATTGGATGCTGTTGGATTTGTTCAAAATAAGTCAATCTGGGGGATTTAGCATCAACTTGCTGGGGTTAAATAGCGTTAATATTGGTTGATTTTAGGAAATGAAGGGAAATGATTTGACTTGTTGCACACTTTTTAAATAATAGGCTATAGTTTTTAATTTTGGGACTTGGGGGAAGGTATCAAGTATTTTCGAGTCAAAAGCTAAAGTCCAAGTGAAGTCACAACTCATTGGTGTCAAAGTCCAAGTCGAGTAACAAATATTTTGATTTTGTTGGTCTAAAATCATCAAATTGGTGACTTGAGTCTGACTTGAGTCCAAGTCATGTGTCTTGAGTCCACACTTCTGCTGTATGAAACTAAATCCAGCAGCCAGTTAGCCTAGCTAAACCTAAAGGAAAATAGATAAATGTGTTTCCCAGAATGTCAAACTAGGTCTTTAATTGTGTGACCATGACAACCTGAACCTGCTTCCCCTCGACACAGGAAGAAGATAAAACTCTCTGAAATAGCATGGCTAAAAAGCCCCAGAACAGATTGTGTTTTTAAACTTTGGTTTATCTCCCTACGTCATACAGACACCTAACCACATGCAAACTTAGATATGACCTTTGTGGTTCCTCAGAACCCCCAAAAATCACGTATGTTCCTGCTTTCTTTGCAATCACCACTTTGTGTCAATGTTTGAATATCACAAGAGAAATGTACCAGAGATCAAGCACAGGTGCTGATTTCTCCACCAACAGTCAACATTAATATACTTGAAATATGCCAGCCTACACACACACACACACACACACACACACACACACACTGTAGTGCTCATCTGCGTCTCTTTGATTCAGTTGTGATGATGCAAAATGACATAAACAAAAGCTTCTCTTTTTTTCAGGGTGTATGAGATGGAAAACGGGACATGTGACGATGTGGAGGCGCTGTGGGAGAAGGTGGATGGCAAACGTTACGAGCTGTGTCGCGTCATCTCCCCGGCGAAGCTCACCCCCTACCTCCGCCAGTGCAAAGTCCTGGATGAGCAGGACGAGGATGAGATCCTCAACTCCATGCTACTGCTCTGCAAAGCAAACCGCACAAGTGGGTAGAGGGATGTGTACACATTTGTGTAGTCATGTTGTGCTTCACACAATTGTTTTGTCACCCTCTTAACCTCCTAATCTCAAAATATGTTGATCCATCCTCTATCAGGCCGTCTACTTGACATCCTCCACACTAAAGGAGAGCGGGGGTATGTGGCGTTTCTTGAGAGTCTTGAATTTTACTACCCTGACCTGTACAAGCTGGTCACAGGAAAGGATCCCACACGACGCTTCTCCACCATCGTAGGTGAGACACACACCTTTGGATGCAGACATGCATGGACACACAGCTTGACTGGGTTTAAATAGACAATACAGTGTAGTTCTTCTTCCTTATGTTAAGCTGTTTGCATCAAACCAAGTGACAATAAAGGTTGATTTATAGTTGTGTGTAGGCTCTACGCAGAGCCTACTGTAGCTTATGCAAGAGGCCCACAATGTTGTGAGTATTTATACTTGTGTGTCAAGTGTGCAATTAATTACACCTCCAAAACACTATTTGGCAGTGGGGATTTTATGCCACTGTCTTGAGTCTCTTTGTGTTCACCAAACAATTTTAACTGAAACTGAGCAGATCATGTTGGAGTCCAGCCCAGTCGCCAGAAGACAAGGCTGGCATTGTACGTTTCTTGGAACCACAAATATGTTACATTTGCACGTTTCATGCGAATCATTTCAACATTTCTCAAGTGACTCAGTACATGAGCTGACTTTGTCATCAGGAGGTGGAGGGGATGGGGGATGGCGTGCCACCTAGGTGAGATGCCTGCCAAGCTGCAGACAACTGTTTGTGACCAATAAACAACAAAACCGGTTGTTACCGAGGCATTGCTGCATTATTATGCCACCAAAACTGAGAATTTTAAGCCAAAACATAATCTTTTCCTAACCATAACCAAGTTGTTTTTTTGGTCTAAACCTAACAACATGTTAACCACTACATTGTGGAAACAAGTTGACGTGTCTGCGACATAATAATATCCAAATGAAACATATCTGTGATTTGCAGACACGTACAATGCCCACATTTTCCTGCCGATTGTGATGACATCCACACCTATGTTTGTGGAAATCTCCTTCCATGAATTTCCTGTCATCTGGCAGTCTTCGTCACATGGTGAAGACAAGTTGTAGAAATGCAGCCTGCATATTAACAGGTTTCCTCAGTTAACCTCTCCTTGATTTGGCCCATGTTCACGGAGAAAAAGGAGCAACTGGAAATGTGCAGGAGGAATTATGATGCTACCAAGTGGACCAATCACAGCTGTCTGTGTCACTACATTGTGTAGTTACATTTCTGGGAAGGTGCATGTCAGGCAACAGCGTAGTGTATGCGACCTTAAGTGAAGAAACAAGCTGATCATCATATGCAATCTTGAATAAATTTTATGAAAAAGCTGGTTTTGTAGCTCTGTTCGGGGAGGAACACTACAAAACTTTTCGTACATCTGCTGGTTGAGGTTAGAATCTGAGGTTAAACCAAATCAGCTTGCAGCTCAGTGATGGTGTAATATCTATATATGATACGTTACACTCTGTGCTGTGTCTTTTTTCTCCTCCTCTCGCCTCACCCCTGCTGTCTGTCTCCCGCTGTAGTGGAGGAGGGTCATGAGGGTCTGACCCAGTTCCTGATGAATGAAGTGATGAAGCTGCAGCAGCAGTCCAAAGTGAAGACCCTGCAGCATGTTGAGCTCAGCAGGAAGAACTGCACCTTGGAGGACGAGCAGAAGAAGCTACGGCTGGCCAATCAGGAGCTTCAGGCCTTCCAACAGAGTAAAAATACACATTATTATTTTACATATGCTCTGATCATGACACAGGGACCATGGAACACCAAAGAAGGGGCGGCATAATTTATTTCTTTATTCACTGTATCAGACATAGGCTTATATTACTGATATATCAGTATTGAGCTCATAAAATGCATGCTCAGCCCCCCTAGCCATCCTGCTCCTGCGGTCCATGATCATGACATGCAAGCTCCTCTCTATCTGTGTTTCTGCACTGCATTCTCCCCATAAGAGAATTTAAAATCCCTATTGATAGATTCTCCGTGTCAAATGGTTTATTCATACCAAAAATACACCACTATTAACTGAAACTGCTACCCCACCACACATGCTTGGTTTACCTGCTTGGTGCACCACAGTTGAGTTTATTAAGGCTAAGTTGCCTGTCACGTTGTCTGCCAAAGCCTACTCATGAAACTAGTTCACTGTGGTATCATGTCCTGTGTAGTTGAAACCTGCAGCTGGTGCATCAAGTACATTCACGTCTAAACAAGAGCTGAAAATAATCTGTGAATACTTTTCAGGCCAGTGGTCAACTCATGTTTCTCTGACAGTGTTTTGGTGAAAATCCAAATGAGGAAGATACTGGCATGGCAACTTTGCTGCAAATTTCCTTGACAGGGTGAATTTGCAAAATCTTAAATCTAATCTAAAATGGCATCTGTCCCTCCTAAAACCTTTGTCCAAATATAAAGATGTCTTTTTTATACTTTTTCTAAAGCTGCTTTCACACAGCCCTACCCGCCCTGATAACAGCCGACCTGCAAAAGTACGCAGACTGCCCATGGACGCAGACTAGGCAGTCATAACGTAGCCTCTGGCTGGCTCAGACCAGGGTCTGACAACAACACAGCTGTGCTCCATTGACACTGATAATGTAGCCTTTTCAGTTTTCCCCCATTTTCAGGCTGGTGAGCCAGTAACACAGGTATATCCACATACCTACGTAAGTGCATGACTATCACAGTATAGCAATAATAGCAAGTGGAATTACATACAATACAAACTCTGTTACACCAACAATCCCAATTTTAGCAAATTATCCTGTTTTTTAAACTCCTTCTTCCAGCGTGACCCAGATGTATCTGGGTCACACTGCAGTTACACCTCCAGAACACTAGCTGGCGGCAGGGGTTTCTGTGAAAAGCTGTGAAGTTTAGTTGACTCAAAACACACATTAAACAAACATTAAACATGGCTTAATAGGGACAAATTGGCTTCACTATAACTCACAACATTCACAGACAAACACTTGTCTTTATCTGGACACATTTCCCCCACAATAACACATGCTAATGTTATTAGCACAAACCTATATGTATATAAATTAGCCTAGCGGCCGGTGATCTTTTCCTTCTCTCATGTAAACCTAGGGAATAGCAACATTTAATAAAGCTAACGATACATAATTTAGCTCCATTGCAACTCACAAGGGTAACTGACTTAACAACTGTCTAATACTAAACACATTTTCTAAACAAATATATAATGCTAATGTTATTAGCACAAGCCTATGGCATTTTACATTGTATAAATTAGCCAAGCAACGAGCGGAGATTTGCTCTGCAATATGAAGCCAGGATAAATCACACACAAGATTTGAAATGCTATTTTTGTGGAGGCTTTATTGTCTTCACAATTTACAGTTTCTTATTAGGGGCTGTACACATGCTGTGTCTTCAACCACTTAGGAAACGGGAGGTAAGGCACAGGGCGCAACTTTCATGCCAGCTCTCAAGAGCGCAGCGGCAGGTTGGGTCTGAGGTTACTAAGCAACCCAACAAGCACCGTAGAGCCAATTTACCTTAAGTCCTGAGTGCAGAGCTGATCTTCTTCCAGGAGCTGTTTATAAGTGTGTAGACGTATCGTCTGTGGGACAGATGTAAAGCTCTGGGTAGCCCTGCACTAACATGATCAACTCCTCCGTATTTATCAGACTGAATATTTACAGAAGAAGAGAAAGATGTCTGTCGGCTGTGATTGGTTTGTAATGTGACTCCTGTGGCTCCTAATAGACTTTCACGTTTGTTATTTTTAAGCAATCAATGAAATTTCGCCAAATAATGACCTTTTTGTTGACTAACGTTTGGTCGACTATTAGGGGACATCCCTACAGGTGAGAGTGAGCGAAACATAACCACTGTCATTAAAAACAAAAAGTGACATTATGACAAAAAGTGACATTATGAAATAAAAAATGTCATTAAATAAATAGTGACATTATAAAATAAATTATGTTGTTATTATGACAATTAATGATGAAATATTATTTTATAATAATGAGTTACATTTAAGTTCATTTCTTTAAGTTCTGTTCATTTATGTATTTACAGAATTTATTTATATGATTTTTGATCTTTTAAAGTAAGATAATATGTATATGTAAATCTTTGGTGTTCCATGTAAATAAGTTCTCCGTATTTATCAATAAGCATAATATTTTCATATGTTTTGCAGTTATGCTAAACCTGACAGCTGCTTTCCACCGAAAAGTCCCGGATATCACACTCATGTATGACTGTATTAATGACTAAGCTTTGTTCTCCAGGGAACAACAAGTTGAGAGAGGAAAGGAACGCCTACAGTGACGAGCTTCTGAGAGTGAAGGATGAAAACTACAAACTGGCCATGAGGTACGCCACGCTGAGCGAGGAGAAGAACATGGCTGTGATGAGGAGCCGAGACCTGCAGCTAGAGGTACTGATGGACATATTAATGCACAAAAACATTGTCATTACATTGTGTATTTGCAAACATCTAAGAAACTCATTATGTGTTCTCACTGTGTGTATAGGTTGATCAGTTAAAGCACAAGCTGAACAAGGTGGAGGAAGAGTGTAAGATGGAGAGGAGGCAGAGTCTCAAGCTGAAGAACGACATTGAGAACCGGCCAAAGAGAGAGCAGATCTTTGAGCTAGAAAGAGAGAATGAAATGCTCAAGATCAAACTACAGGAGCTACAGTCCATCATACAGGTATGGCCTGCCTAAAACACGCGGTCATGCATAGACACACAGGGATTGATAAGCAATATAAGACATTGTCTGGTGGGCCAGGAACAAACCATCCCTCAGCTATAGCACAGATCTCAACGTTAATGTGTTTAAATCACCTACCTAGAGTTGATATTGTACTCTCTGAAATCTTCGTCCTTAAGTTGGTGGGCAGGACAGTTTTCTTGACTTGAGACATTGATATCTCCACTGTGACAGAACAGCTTTTACCATTCAAACTGCATTTGAAATGTCCATATACCTTCTTTCTTTTGCAATTTGAACTGTGAAGCTAGCCCTAACCAGTATCTTACAATGTGGGTGTATATCAAGCTACATAGGACCCTCAGAGCTTAGGACCCTGGGGACATAGGGCCATGGGAACATAGACCTGTGGAAACTTAGGACTGTGGAAACATAGGACAATGGGAACTTAGGACCCCTGGAAAATACAACAGTGGGAACTCAGGATCCTGGGAGCATAAACCATGGGAACATAAGAATCTGCTGGAGGCATAGGACCCTAGGAACTTAGGACCTTGGAAACATAGGACTTGGGTAACTTAGGACCCCTGGAAAATACAACAGTGGGAACTTAGGATCCTGGGGACATAGGACCGTGGGAACTTGGGGTGCTGGGGACATATAACCTGGGGAAGTAGGGTCCTGGGGACACTGGACCCCAAGAATTTAGGACTCTTTGGACAAAGGACCATGGAAACTTAGGGCCCTGGGAACTTAGGACCCTGGGAACATAAACCATGGGAACGTAAGAATCTAGAGGCATAGGACCCTAGGAACTTAGGACCTTGGAAACATAGGACTTGGGTAACTTAGGACCCCTGGAAAATACAACAGTGGGAACTTAGGACCCTGGGAGCATAAACCATTGGAACATAAGAATCTGGAGGCATAGGGCCCTAGGAACTTAGGACTTTGGAAACATAGGATTTGGATAAATTAGGACCCCTGGAAAATACAACAGTGGGAACTTAGGATCCTGGGGACATAAGACTGTGGGAACTTGGGGTGCTGGGGACATATAACCTGGGAAGGTAGGGCCCTGGGGACACTGGACGCCAAGAATTTAGGACTCTTTGTCATAGGACCATGGAAACATAGGGCTCTTGGAACTTAGGACCCTGGGAACATGGGACTGTGGGAAGTTAGGACCCTGGGAGCATAAACCATGGGAACATAAGAATCTGGAGGCATAGGAACATAGGACTGGGGGAACTTAGGACCCTGGGAACATAGGATCATGGGAACCTAGGACCATTAGAAAATAGAACTGTGGGAACTTAGGATCATGGGGACATAGAACTCTGGGAACATGTTACAGTCTTCTCACAGTTTAAACCTGCATTAACTGATTCTTTTTTAGCCACTTCAGGTCAGTGCAAAAAACAGTAAATATGTTGACATGCTAACGTGTTAGCCAACAAACGCCTCTTTACACATTCAGCAATATTAGCATTAATTTGCTAATCTGCTAAATAAAGTTAATTAGAATCTTGAGAGTGAACCAAAACTGTAAAAACCAAAATGATTGGTTGAACAAAGCTAAGGTGCTCCATAGATAAAGGGGACCTGGGTTCGTCACTACAAAGTAAGTCCTCTCTTGAAGGACCCCTGATGCTGTTTAATGCAAACTATCCAGTATACACAGTTCATACCCAACAATGTGTGTTTCTTTATGACACAGCCTGGCCCACTGCCTGCTTCAGACAAGGCCATCCTTGACATTTTGGAACACGACAGACAGGAAGCACTAGAAGACAGACAGGATCTGGTCAACCGCCTCTACAACCTACATGAAGAAATCCGACAGGCAGAGGAACTACGAGATAAGGTAACAGACACACAGGCAGGCAATGAAACAAGACAAATTTACACAAGTGAAATGAGGTTATTGTGCTGTACTTGAGTATTTCCATTGTATGTTACTTTATACGTCACTACATTTCAGAAGGAAATATTGCACTCCACATTTATTTGACAGTTTTTAGCTATTAGTTCCTTTTCAGATCAAGATATTTACATTACAATTTTATGATGAGTTCACAAAATACAATACATTGTTGTAGATTAAATCTGTGGTTTTCAGCCATTTTGACATGTGACAAGTTACAAAAAAACGGTGTCTAGCCAAAGTCACAGATGTCTCTGAGTTGTTAGCAGTTTCACTGCAGCGCAACTTCCCCTCCAGAGTTTTCAGACCTTTAAATAACTGTAAGTGTCCAAAATGTCACAATAAAATCAAATATTAGAGAAAAAATACTTAAAAAATACTTAATTATAGATAAACAGCAACCTGTTACTACATTAAAATGCTGTTTACACACTGTTTCAGTAACAGTTTTTACTATGTAATCATACAGCAGTCACAGGGGACATATTATTGTGGAACAAATACAAAAGTACACTTTACCGATAAAACTTTCGTACTACGCCTGCCAACTGTATCATGACGCAAAAGAAAGTGAGCATCTACTCATGAACAGAGGCTTATAAGTGGGAAGAGGGAAAATATTTGTCATGGTTTTGGAGTCGGACTTTCAACGCAGGACTTTTGCCTTTAATGGAGTATTCTGAAACTGTGGTATTGGTACTTTAACGTAACGTAGGGATATGGGTAGGTGTGTAGAGGTTATGTAAGTGTTCTTGGTTCCTTGTATGAAACGTTGATTGAACGTATGATTATTCGGAAGTGTGTGAGTGTGAAGCAGAGTGTGTCTGCAAACAAAGAAATGTAAGTGAAAACACACCCTGGAAACACAAACCCATGACCAGAGAGCCCAATGCCCATGAGACCATCTGTGAAACACACCCTGTGCAGAAACCCCCATCAATGGCCTCTGTTTGTGTGTAACCTGGTATTTTTTCTTTCTCCCTCTTTCTTTCTCTTCCTGTATATGCCTTTGTCGAGTAAGCTATAATTAACCCATGTGTGGTGTATGTGTGTAGTACCTGGAGGAAAAGGAGGATCTGGAGCTGAAGTGCTCCACACTGCAAAAAGACTGTGAGATGTATCGCAACCGCATGGAGACCATCACCGCACAGCTGGAGGAGGTGGAGAAGGAGAGGGACCAGGTGAAAGCACACAGACGAACTGATTCTTTATATTTGTCAATGTGAATGTTTTGTTGCTGTTGTTGCTTATTTCCACTCTTCCGCTGCTGCAGGCCTTTCGAGCCAGAGACGAGGCCCAGCATCAATTCTCCCAGAGTCTCATCGACAAAGACAAATACCGCAAACAGATCAGGGAGCTGGAGGAGAAGAGCGATGAGCTCCATATCAAGATCGTACGCAAAGAAGCCAAGCTGGTGACCTTGGAGTGTCGCCTACGACGGCTGTCCAAGGACTCTCCTTTGGACCAGGTTAGACACAACAGAGTAAATAAGTGCTCACACTTCATCTCTGGAACTTGCCGTATTTCCAGTGACTAATTTTGAAATGTTCCTAATTCTGTCCTCTCTGTTTCTGCAGAGTCTCCCGAGGGACCTGCCTCCCACCATCATCTCTCAAGGAGAGGACTTCAAACCCGTCCAGGCCCAATCAGAATGGTCCAGTGATGAGTCGCCAGAGGAGAAGTTCACATCTGAGGAGCCTCGCCTCAAACGCAGACCCAACCTCAAAGGAGGGGTCAGCTACTGTCCACCACTCACACTTACTTACCTATTTACAGATTGAACATTACAGCAAAGGCCAGGGCCTGTATTTGTCAAACTCTTAGGAATCATATTAAAGACTCAACTTGGGAGTAAAACAGTTTTTACGTAACACCATACCACACATTAAACTACTTACTCTCTAAGTGTCTTACTCTTATGAAGTTTATATCAATTACTCACACTGTGTCATGTTGAATTCATATCAAAAATATTATTATTATCCTGCTGGAAGTAGCCATCAGAAGATGGGTACACTGTGGTCATAAAGGGATGGACATGGTCAGCAACAATACTCAGGTAGGCTGTGGTGTTTAAACCATGCTCAGTTGGTACTAAGAAAATCTCCCCCACACCATTACACCACCAGCAGCAGCCTGAAGCGTTGATACAAGGCAGGATGGATCCATGCTTCCATCTGAATGTGGTTTTTCCAATCTTCTATTGTCCAGTTTTGGTGAGAAAACCCGTGTGAATTGTAGCCTCAGTTTCCTGTTGTTAGCTGACAGGAGTGGCACCTGGTGTGGTCTTCTGCTGCTGTAGCCCATCTGCTTCAAGGTTGGACAAGGTCTTGTTGCTTCAGAGATGGTCTTCTGCAGACCTTGGTTGGAACCAGTGGTTATTTGACTTCCTGTTGCCTTTCTATCATCCTGAACCAGTCTGGCCATTCTCCTCTGACCTCTGGCATCAACAAGGCATTTTGGCTCACTGGATATTTTCTCTTTTTGGGACCATCCTCTGTAAACCCTAGAGATGGTTGTGCTGAAAATCCCAGTAAATACTCAGACCAGCCCGTCTGGCACCAACAACCATGCCACTTTCAAAGTCACTTAAATCACCTTTCTTCATCATTCTGATAGGCTGATTAGCTATTTGCGTTAATGAGCAGTTGAACAGGTGTACCTAATAAAGTGACTAAATGCAGCTGCCAAAGACTGCAATTGATAAATATTTTTTTCAGATTCTTATTTTACTGTAGAGGCCTGTGAGAAAACTTTTCCTTTAACAAATTCAACATAACACAGGGTGAATAATTGATGTGCAAAGGATTATTCAAATAATCAAAAACATCTAATTTCTTATTTTAAAGTTCATTTAATTTGTGTGAAATCCTCAAAGTCTCCAGTCGAAATTCCCATGTGAAATCAATTATCTAATATTTTCATTGTATAGACATAAAGATGAAATACTACAAAATAAAAACAATAAAATTTGTGTTTTGTATTCTAGAACAGAGCAAAGTCTCCAGTGTGTGCACCCAGAGACCTTCAGGTCAACTCAGAGGCCACTCATTCCACAGGTAACACCGTCATAGTTCAGTCATACAGTTTATTCCACTGTAACAGTGACATTTCTTTTGTTAATATTTATCTATATTTGTCTCCAACGTTCAGCTCTGTCAGTCAACGGAGGAGATTGTCTGGAAATCCAGATGCGGAACTTGCACGTCAACAGCATCTCCCTCCCTCCCTCCCCCAGCGTGCCGATCTCCCCCACATATCCACCCTTCTCCGCTCCCGCCCTCTCCACATCCCCATCTTCACTTCCCACGGGGGAACAGTCCAACAGGCCGAACATGGTGAGGTTTTAAAACACTGCTACAGTCCAGAGTTTTGTCTCAGGTGTTGATGCAGAGAAATGATGCCGTATTAGCCCTAAGCCAAATAGATTTATTTTCTGCGGCTCGAACACATCGCTGATTTGCATGTCTGCGTCTGAAATTGAAACTTCTGCTTTGTTCACTTGTAAAATCTCCAGCTGCGTTACCGTAATGACAGCATCCTTTCCACGCTGCCTGAGCCACCAGAGAAAGCGTCACTGTACCGCAGAGAGCGGGAGAAGGAGCATGACTTCCACCCCCGCAGGTACCCACGGCCTGTACCAGAGTATACATGTCAGTAGTCCATGCTGGTGCTGGTTTGTAATTAATTTATTTTGTCTGATGCTTGGTCTCTTTCAGCCTCTCAGACTTTGATAGTGACAACATGGAAATGGAGTTTGGTAAAGTATACTTTAACACATTACCCAAAATCGCACTAATGACATTTTTCTGAACTGAATGACTTTATTTATCTTCTACCATTTTTTATTAACCTCTGTCTGTTTCTGCCTGTCTGTCTCTTTCTTAGAGGACGAAGTACAGCGTGGTCCACCTTCCGTCCACTCATCTTCCTCGTCCCATCAGTCAGAAGGGATGGACACTTACGACCTAGAGCAGGTCAACAATATCTTCAGGAAGCTCTCTCTGGAGAGGTAAAGTACAGACTCTGATGCACTCACATACACAAGAAAGACTGACAGTCAAGCTTACTCACACGTACCTTCTTCTCCTGTGTGCAGGCCGTTCCGCCCGTCTCTGTCCTCCTTCTCCAGAATCAGCACTTCCCTGAAGCCCGTGCAGGAGCTGACATTGCAAGGCGACAACCTGCTGAGGGACATCACTCTGGTTGGCGGCAACGACAGTGGGATTTTCATCTCAGCTGTCCAGTCGGGCTCCATCGCTGAGAAGGCGGGGCTACGAGAGGGCCACCACCTCCTATGTGTACGTAGTTAAACTCCAGGGTCACACAGAGCTGTAATACAAGGAAAAGTTCACTTAATTAAAAACACTGTCTGGACAAATGTACAGAAAAAAATGAGCGGCAGCCTCCAGAGCTGATAAATGAAGTCAATGCAGAAGTGGCAAAAAAATTCTGTTCTCCAAATGACCACTAGAGGCTGGCTCCAAGAGTGAGTCAATCCCCACAGACGCCATGTTAATATGAGTAACTTTACAGCAGACATAAACATGTTTACAGCCTGGTACAAAAAATGTTTTGTTCTCTCAAGCCAATATGCCCATACATGTGGTGAATTTTTATAGAACTCATCTGTTTAAATGTTATAAGGGCTTAAAGTTACACATAATATAGGCCCTATGTCCACCGAAGAGTTTTTTCCATGCTAAAAATGCGAGCCACATCTTAGGAAAGACCCAGCTGGGAGCGCTCTAGAGTGTTTTGGAGGTGTTTTCTCTTTGTTTTTTTTGCTATGATACGGAATGGCTGCGGAAATAAATATTTTGGGATAAGGTAGAGTACTTACTCTGAATGAAGGGAAGGCTAAAGCATGTAAGGAGAGAGGACAGACCTGTCAGTCTGTGTGGGTTCATGAAATGTATATTAATATATATTATATATATTGCTGGGGTGCTTTGCTTGGCCTGCTGCCCCCGTGACCCAGCCCCAGATAAGCGGATGAAAATGGATGGCTGGATATATTATATATGCATATATATATATACAGTATATTAACATGTTTCTCCATTTTTTAACTCTTGGTGCTCAGAGAAAAACCCAAACATGCAGCACTTGTTTTGACAGACGCTCAGCACCTTGTCACACTGCTGGTGTTTGTAGCATAGTGTAGAAACTTGGCACTACCACTGCACACATCTACGTAAATATGCTGGCCTCAAGAAAAAATGCCCTTGAGATGTGGCTGCTTTGAGTGACAGGAGGGTGCTGTCCGTTAAGAAGTTGCTACCACAGGGACAACATTGGTTAGGTAACATAACCATGGCGTAACCCCAGATTCACAGAGTATGGACTTAGCTATAGCTGTCACTATTTCAGTGTGTTTCAGTCTTGTTTTCCATTTTGTTTTAATGGTGAAAATTAGCATTATCACAGTCCCCCTCCGGAGGGAGCTCGGAGTAGAGCCGCTGCTCCTTCGCATCGAAAGGGGTCAGCTGAGGTGGTTCGGGCATCTGATCAGGATCCTCCTGAGCCCTCCCATTAGAGGTTACCCGGGCACGTCCCACTGGTAGAGACCTCGGGGCAGACCCAGAACACACTGGAGGGATTACATATCTTGTCTGTCATCTGATAAGCGGTTGAAAATGGATGGATGAATGGATGATCCCAGTTAACCATAGCTGTACATGTACTGTGCTAACCGAGCTAGCAGCTAGCGTTGGGGTTTTCTCCTCCCTGTCGTCCAAATATGATCATTTCCGCCTCCAAATATCCAAGATGGTGACGGGCAAACTGCCAAACTCAAGGCCTCAAAATGGGGGTTCACGAATAAATAGGTGAAGTCCATAATTTTATACACTCACGATAGAATAAAACAAATCCAGACATTTTAACCATGAGCAGTTTATTTTTTTATATTTTCAAATGCTTGCTTGTTTTTAATGTTCATTTATCCAATGACTATCAACTATAATCGAGGGACTAATTTGCTAAAGTTCCAGAATTATGTGTAACACACCTTTAACATGAATACTTTAACCTGTCGTTCATCTGTCTTATGCTGTGACCAGCTTGAGGGATGCATACGTGGAGAGAGCCAAAGCATTTCATTGGACACCAGCACTCAGGAAGAAGCCCACTGGACGCTGCAGCACTGCTCTGGACCAGTCAAGCTGCACTATCGAGCCAACTTTGACTGTAAGTGTCGTTTTTATATATGTATGTGTAGTATCCATATACTGTATATTTAAATGTGAGTGTGCGCTCTAGGCTACCGTCGACTCCAGAGGGACATCACAGAAGGCCCGCTGGTATCTGGCGACTCCTTCCACATACGAGTCAACCTAAACATCTCCGGCCAATCAGACAGCTGCTCCCTGAGCGTACGCTGTGATGAGGTGGTACACGTGCTGGACACCAGGCACCAGGGCCGCTGTGAGTGGCTGTGTTCTCGTGTCGACCCCTACGATGGCACCGACCTGTCCGAGCGTGGCACCATACCCAGCAACTCACGGTACAGAGAGGTTATGTTAAAACTGAACGACATTTTGGCACTGAAAACGAGAGTTAGATTAAACCTTTAGTTTTGCATATGAAGCCTACGCGTTTGATATATTCTGCTCCCCTGACAAAAAAAGGCCTATGGTGAGAGAGGGGGGGTTGAAGAGGTCAAACCAGCATGGCGTCAGAGACCGTTCAAGTGCTGGAAGTGATAGATTTTCATGCATCTGTTCCACTTTAGTGCTGCAGGATGCTGAGAGTGATGAAAAGGTGATGTAACAGTTGAGCAACCAAGCAGAGTTCGGCAGGGGACAAAGGGGGCTACATCTGCTTTTTAGAAGTTTCACTGATCTCCCAACACAGCAGCAACACACAGACACACTCAAACATGCACACACACACAGTCAAACCTTTGTATTTTTTCACACTTGAGTCCCACAACCTGTTGTTGTCACCAGAGAAGCACAGGAAGCAGCTTGATGGATGACAGGCTCTGACATGATAATACATTTTTACTTTTGTTACTGTGTCGAAATCATGAGTTTGATTTTTTTTGTGTGTGTGTGTGTGTGTGTGTGTGTGTGTGTGTGTGAATGTAGAGCCCAGCAGCTGCTCCTGGTAAAGATTCAGAAGTTTGTGTGTCGAGGGGGGAGAGAAGAGAATGAAGTCCACCGCAACAATAGAGTAAGAAACGTATTTTTTTAGCAAAGATTTAAAAAATAAATCACACACATATATATGTGAATACGTGGAATTAATATAGCAACACATTCATTTTGACTAAAGCAATTGTCTTTGTGTCACACTCCTTCACTAATTTCTTTTTATACCCCATTTAGAATTTTTTTTGTCTCCACTTCTCTACTGTTTCACAAATTCTGCATTTTTCTAAGTTGGAATTTTGCATCACTTCAGAAAAACAAATATTTGTTTGATCTATGAGTTGTGTGTTTGTTCCTGTGTAGATGAGTTTACTGCCACCAGAAGAAGCCAGCCCGTCTCCTGATCCTAAAGCCAGCCCACGCTTGTCTAGAGCCAGCATCTTCCTCACTCAGATACTACAGGTAAGGAAGTGGAAATAAAACCTTTTGTTGTAGGACAAGATTTTTGTCTCTTCCAGGCAGTGGTGCACCTCTGCTACAGGCTCAGATGTTTTGTGTTGAACAAAATGGATCACTTTGAAGAAAAACTGAATTTATCATCCAATGCTTAAAGTTACACCCTTTAACCTCAGAGGCCTGGTCACACCTGCCCTGTCTGGTTTGGTTCAGTCAAACTCAGGTTCGTTTGCCCCCTCAGTGCGGTTCATTTGGGCAGGTGTGAACACAGCAATCACACTCAGGTGTGCACCAAAACAACCGGACACTTCTTGAAGAGGTGGTCTCAGTCCTGCAGTCACATGACACATTGTTTGGGTTAAACATGAGCATGTTACAGTACTGGAGGATTATTAATGTGCACCTCCTCCTGTACTGCCTTAATATGCACATTCAGCACATCCAATGCATCAAAACATTGTTTTCTAGTTGGAGCCGCGCCTCGTTTTCAAACTGTATGGTTTGACTAAAATGAACAATGACAGCAATATAGTCCACGATGAGCAGCGCTAAAATTAACCTGCGTAGTTGTCCCTCCATTGTGACATTAGAAAGTGTCACATTTATCTTGCAAGTGTACTCTTCTTCAACGTTTGCTTTACTTCCTGGATTTTTCCCACATGGAAATTCTGACCAATCAAGAGCAGCTTTCTCACACAAGGCATTTGATCTGGTCCGCTTGTAAATGCTGCCGTGAGAACACGAACCAACTCTAGGCAATTATACAACTTTGGAACAACATGAGTCCCTGATTCAGACCAAAAGTGAAAATTGACCTTTTCCTGCTATCACAACTTTTCACCTGTTTACACATAAATGAACAGTGACTCTTCTACTATACTGAGGAACAGAGGCATCAGAGGTCACTGCTCCAGGTAGCCTTACAATAATAGCTTTTCTTCAGGCTTCTGACTGGCCAACGTCTTTTTCTTCTCAGTGTGGCTTTAGGGTGATGTTACTTTTTTAAAACAGTGCTTGTATGGGCAGACAGGAGGTTTCCAACCACCTCCACTTCCAGTCATGGTCAAGTTTCAAGTTCATTTGAAATTTCTCACAAACACCAGCATTCAGTTAGCACCTCTGTGGCTTCCGTGGGGGTTTTGTCAGTCTCGAAGAGGGGTTTTTGAGGGGCGATGAAAAAAAAAAAAAAAAAAGAAAAGCTGAATACATTCGATACTAAATACACTCACAAATATCACCTGGCTAACCTCTGTCTGAACCTGAACTTATTTATTATTATTATTACTACTATTATTATTAGTACTACATTTTACTTTTTTCTTTTTTTTTAATTCTCCCTTTATTTAGTTATTTCAGAGTCCAGTCAGACACCTTCATCATACTCCAAGGGCTTATAGCCCGATCTTTCCAGGCCTTCTGTTCAGAGAGTAACCTAAAAGTGTGTTACAATGTGTAATACAGGAGTCAAAATGAACAAGAGGGTCCTTACACTTCAGCTGAGGTCCCTAACTAATAAAATAAATGTAAATATAGGTATGAACATAGAAAAACAAATACACAAAAAAAAAACTGAACTCCGTATTTGGACCAGAATGAATTCATGATACTCACTTTACAAACAAGGATAAAAAAAATCAATAAAAAAATCAATTAAAATAAGTCAAAAGGACATAAATGTACTTTAAACAGACGAAGAACAAACAGGTTTAATGTTCACTATCCATTATCCCCATCAAAACCTTGTCCTGTTGCAGTGTAGAAAAAGTAATCCTCTCCTTCCTAAAGATGTCATATATAATGTCAGTCCAATCATCCACTTTCTGGTAATGGTGTTCCTGCACGCAGCACTTAGAATCCATAACAGGTATCTCTCATGAGAGGTAACATTATCCAGTGGCAAGGTCCCCAAATATAGGGTCTCTAGTTTAAACTATGGCTCAACCATTCACTCAGACTCAATGATATACTGATTAGAATTTGATGGTCAAAGGTCAGTGTGTGACCACACAAGACATGTTTTCAGCCATAACTAATTTCACACAAATGTCTAGTAGGATTTTGTGATAAAGTCTTCTTCTTCTGGCGTATGTCCTTAGACCTTCAGCTCCGTTGAGGCACACCAGTCGCAGCTGGTTATTATATGTTCCACGGTTTGTAGTGGAGCCCCACATTCGCAGTGGGAACTGTCCACAAGATCCCATTTTTGCTTTGCTGCACCAAAGTGTCCTACGCCTGTCCTCAGGTGATTGAGGCTTGATGAAGACAGCTTCCCTGTGGCTTTCCCCACAAGCAGCTAAAGAGTTGACGTTCACGGTCTGCAGTGCTAGCACTTCTCCAGCTCAATGATAAAGTGATGACGTTTTATATCCTAGAGGTCAAAGGTCAGCCCTTGAAACTGTGCTGATTATATAGATCTTCTGTGCTGCTGCGGGGTGAGATGTGTGTCAAGGATCCATGTTTTCACAGACATGGGTGTAAGCTGTAAATGACGGGTTTGCAGAGGCTTACAAGCAGTAATTCTAGTTTTTGTTTCTATTTTTGTCTCGGTTTGTCTGTACTTCTGTTTTCATCTACCCCCATGTATGCGTGTGTGTCAATACCTTGATTTTTTTGTGTACTGCTCTTTGCAGCAATCACAATAATAATAATAGCAGGAAGAAGGGAAAAACCCTGTCTCTAAAAATACCTGTGTACGTGTAGACTTGGCTGTATTCAAGATGACACTTTATAGAACCACATTCCTGCGTGGTGGTAGCAAAATGACAACTGCAAAACAATTTTAAAACATAAATAGAAATATTTGTCAAAATACTGTTAATCCATATTGATCTCCGACTTGTTCAGCTGCAGGTATCCAGAGCAGCCTGCGCTGACTACCATGGTGTAGTTTAACTGAAGGGTAACTAAGAGGCGAGCAGTCAAAATAATGAATATTTGAGGAGTTTCATACCACTGTTTCACCCAGTTGGAATTATTGATAGCCTGAAAGTAATCTCACCCCCTTGTTTTAAGCATTATTGAACAAAGCAGCTTAGATGCCGCCTTTAATACTGTTTTGATTTGCAGTTTGTCAGCAGGGTGGACATCAAATACAAGCGAATGAACAGCAACGAGCGTGTGAGGATCATCAACTCAGGCAGCACAACACTACCCAGACAAGGGTTTGAGGCACTTAGACCCGAAGGTGAGTACAATGTGATGCAGGAGGAGCAAAACTCCACAGCAACCAGAAGAAACATCATGACAACATGTCTTTAAAATAGAGCAAGCAGTAGGTCAGAGACACCAGAGAGGGTGTGAAGTGTCATTTTAAGTACAGACTGTTTCACTGGAATTGACCTTTCACTAAGCCCCGCCCCTTTGCGATGGTCCGACAAGCTGTCGCAGTAAGCATGGAGCCCACACTGTAACTAACTGCACTCCCTGAAGAAATATTATAATATATTTGGAGAAATGAAAGAGTGATGTCAGAGAGAAGCAGACAGAGGGGTCTACAGTCTGTGTTTGAAGGATATATCCAGGATGTCAAACTGACTCAGCAGCAACAACAGGTTAAAAAGACAAAGATAGTTAGAAGCTAAAGCCGAACTATAGGCTACAGATCACAGTGTAAAAGTGAACCACCACATCACTGCTGATCGCCACACAAGACAATGAATATAAAGGGAAACTTTGCTCATATTGAACCAGCTGTGTGGATTCACAATGTGTGCAGATGAACAGTGTTTGGCTTCGCCCCCGTGCTGCTGCCAGCACTTAGACCTCCACCGCTGGATGTCCGGAAGTCAAGCGTTCATCTGCGCACACTGTGATGACACACAGCTGGTTGAATATGAGCAAAGTTTCCCTGCTTCCCTTCACTGGTTCCTGTACAGTAGGGTCGGTCTTTGTTTCACTGTTATAATCATTAAAAAGCAAAAGCAGCATGTGTATACATTCAGTAGGCTATATTTTCAGTAGCTAGCTAGCTAACCCTACACTTTTCAGGGTTTGATTTTGGTTTTGGAACAGGGAAGAAACGTATATCTTTTTCCAACCTCTCCAGGTAACGAGTGTCATTAATACACGACGTGCCCCAGGCACAACATTTAGCTCCAAATCCACAAAACCAGCCTGAAAATGAAGGAAGTCTGAAATGACTAAAACTGTCCAATCAATTAAAGGCAAAAAAGCCCTAAAATATCTTTTAAAAAAGACATGGCGGAGGCCTTGAATGTTAATTTTTCAGTGGATGGTGATTTAATATGCTGTAACTTAAGTCGAATAGAGTTGTTCTTCATAAATTCATAATATGTCTGAGGACAATGTTGCTAACTTGCTAAATTGTTAGCTTCTGTGACCATGTTGCCATCACCTAGCAGCAATGTTCTCACAACTTACCACTTGAACGCAAAGCATATCATGCACACGACTTCCCTTGTGGTAACCACAAGCTCACAAAGTTCATCTGAGGGAAGCAGTACAAAGAGACAAATTAAGATTATTAATGTTGTCACGTTTGAAACGGTCGATAAGAATAGAAAAAAGCTGAATTGCCATTTAAAGAGTAAATAATTAAAGAAGTTGAGATGTTAGCTGAAGTGTATAAGCAGTTGAAATATATGGATTAAAATAACCTGCCTTGTGAACCTTTAGGCTTCCTTAAATCTTTCTGCCCTGCATGTATCATTAAGTGTTCCTCTTTCTGTGTGTGTGCATGCTGTCTTGTGTGGGCTGTAAACAGACACTGCTGACCCAGACAGTGAGCTGAGCCGGAGTTTGAACCTGATTCCCTACAGTACAGTCACCCCCCAGCGGACCCAGAGGAGAAGGCCGGTCCTATTCAGTCCAGCTGCTCTGGCCAAAACCATTATCCAGAGAATACTCAACATGGGGGGAGCAATGGAATTCAACACCTGCAAACCAGGTCAGTGTGTGATGGGAGGAAGTAAATTCACCGTGACATGTGTCATTTTGTTTAATGAAGTCTTGTTGACATCTCCATGTGGTGTTTTTAATATAATACAAGATTTATAATGAGCAAAAAAGCAGTCAAAGCCAGGGCTTATCTTCGTTGCCTTGGAACTGCAGTGTACCAATAACAGTCTGAAAACATGGATTCAGACAGACAGGCTTTGTTACATCTCAAACCTAAGGAACCAATCCCATCAGCATCAGTGAGTCCAATTCGTTTACTTTTGTTGTAGACTGAAAACATTTGGGTTTGACATCAAAAGATGAATATGAGACAAGAGATCAACATTTCAGCTTTTATTTCCAGGTATTTACATCTGGATCTGATACACAACTTAGAAGATAGCATTATTTGTAATGGAACACAAAATTTTTAGGTGAGCAAAAGTATTGGAACATATAAACTTAAAATAGATTAAAGTGAATGAGACTTAATATTTAGTTGCAAATCCTTTGCTTTCAATAACTGCATCAAGCCTGTGACCCATTGACATCACCAAACTTTTGCATTCTTCTTTTGTGATGCTTTTCCAGGCTTTCACCGCAGCCTCTTTCAGTTGTTGTTTGTTTTGGGGGGTTACTCCCTTCAGTCTCCTCTTCAGCAGGTAAAATGCATGCTCTATTGGGTTTAAGTCTGGAGACTGACTTGGCCAGTCTAAAACCTTCCACTTCTTGCCCCTGATGAACTCCTTTGTTGTTTTGGCAGTGTGTTTTGGGTCGTTATCTTGCTGCATGATGAAGGATCTCCCAATCAGTTTGGTTGCATCTTTCTTTAAATTAGCAGACAAAATGTTTCTGTAGACTTCTGAGTTCATTTTGCTGCTGCCATCATGTGTTACATCATCAATGAAGATGAAAGAGCCCGTCCCAGAAGAAGCCATGCAAGCCCAAGCCATGACATTACCTCCACCGTGTTTCACAGATGAGCTTGTATGTTTGGGATCATGAGCAGATCCTTTCTTTCTCCAAACTTTCGCCTTTCCATCACTTTGGAAAAAGTTAATCTTTGTCTCATCAGTCCATAAAACTTTTTCCCAGAATTTTTGAGGCTCATCTCTGTACCTTTTGGCAAATTCCAGCCTGGCCTTCCTATTCTTCTTGCTAATGAGTGGTTTGCATCTTCTGGTGTAGCCTCTGTACTTTTGTTCATGAAGTCTTCTGCGAACAGTAGATTGTGATACCTTCACTCCTGCCCTCTGGAGGTTGTTGCTGATGTCACTAACAGTTGTTTTAGGGTCTTTCTTTACAGCTCTCACAATGTTTCTGTCATCAACTGCTGATGTTTTCCTTGGTCTACCTGTTCGACGTCTGTTGCTTAGTACACCAGTGGTTTCTTTCTTCTTCAGGACATTCCAAATGGTTGTACTGGCTATGGCCAATGTTTGTGCAATGGCTCTGATTGATTGTCCATCTTCTCTCAGATTCACAATTGCTTCTTTTTCACCCATAGACAGCTCTCTGGTTTTCATGTTGGTTCCACCTCTAAATGCAGTCTGCACAGGCAAAACCTATCGTACCCAATCTGAAACTGAGCTCAGACATTCAGTGCTATTTATTGTTTGAATAATCAATGTAATTGGGAGACACCTGGGCAACAAAACACACCTGTCAGTCACATGTTCCAATACTTTTGCTCTCATGAAAAATGGGTGGGTTCAAACAAAAGGTGCTATCTTCTAAGTTGTGTATCAGATCCAGATGTAAATACCTGGAAATAAAAGCTGAAATGTTGATCTCTTGTCCCATATTCATCTTTTGATGTCAAACCCAAATATTTTCAGTCCACAACAAAAATAAAGGAATTGGCCTCACTGTTCCAATACTTTTGGAGGGCACTGTAGATTACTATTACATTTCTGACGTTGACGTTCGATGAGCAGAGTCGAAGTCAGGGAAAGTCGTAGTGGCAGGAAAAGTGGGACTGATTACAGAGGGCCCCAATGGGAAGGTGGCCCGTGAAAAGCCTGGAATGAAAAGTTCGGCTTTGTTTGAAATGTTTTAATAAATAATTAGTGCTGTAACTAAAATATAATTGGCTGATTAAATCAATTGAAAGACTGAACTTTGTATTTGGAAAAAAAAATTGTGGAAGCTCTCTGAGGCCCATGTCATCCTTTTAAAGTGCAAGATAGTTAAGTCTGCCCTTTTAATAGGATTTGTCAATAAATGCGCTAAAAGATGCACGAAAGAGACTCGGAACCATTTCCCTCAGTGGAAACTAAGCTTTTATTTACTTTAATTTCACAGATAAGAAACAATAAATTGTGAAGACAATAAAGCCTCCACAAAAATAGTACTTTAAGTCTTGTGTGTGATTTATCCTGGCTTCATATGAGCAGAGGAAATCTCTGCTCGTCGCTAGGCTAATTTATACAATGTAAAATGCCATAGGAGTGTGCTAATAACGTTAGCATGTTGCATTTGTTTGGAAAACGTGTCCAGCAAAAGACATGTACTTAGTCTGTGAATGCTGCGAGTTATGGTGAAGCTGATTTGTGTACTTGGGTTTGAAATTGCTACTCTAAAGCCATGTTTAAAGTGTGTTTTGAATCAAATTAAATTTACAGCCCTTCACAGAAACCTCCGCTGCCGACTAGTTTTCTGGAGGTGTAACTGCAAGGTGACACAGACACACCAACGCACAAGTATAAATGCTCACAACGGTGTAGGGTCTGCCGCACAAGTATAAATCCCCCGCAAGGGCATTGTGCCCACAGAGACTGCTCAGGCACAGTGTCCAGAATTTGGTGCTATGCCCCTGGTTGAAGGTGAGCAGGTACGCTCAAGCTGAGGGCGCTCAGCTGATGGTTGGAAGGAGATAGAGGCAGGAACTTATTTGCATACTCGGTAGAAAGGTGTTGCGAAGGTGTAGAGTTACATCTAAAGACCCTGTCCCACTGGACAAAAAAACACCCTCTAACATGGCTTTTGTGTTGATTGGGAAAGTTACAATGGGCACTCGCTCCTGGGACTCTGCAGTCTTCACAGGTATTTATACAGCTCCAAAAGGCTCCAATCGGCAGTGATGGAAACATGACAACCCCGGTGGATCCCTCTCCTGCTGTGATGCAATGACACGCTGCCACAAAATACCATTCGTCTCTGTCAAAAATTGAGCACTGTTCAAAATTAGGTTGGCACAGGGTTTGAGAGAGACACTGAATAAGTACCAGATATTTAAAAAAGAGGTAAACACCTTGACATTTTCATTGGCCTCTGTGTTGCTTTCTGCCATATATCAACTCTGTATTCTGGCCTGTCCATGACACTGAGCGTGACACACCAGAAAGGCACACTCATCTACTGAAGAGCCAGCTCTAGTCTACTGGAAGTGGGAAAGCAGGCCTAGTTTTAACGGGTTTTCCCATATTCAAACCCCCCCCATACAAGCACTAATTTTGGTGGAGGAGGAGAATAAGCCATTTTAAGGCGTGACTGGATTTTTTTCATGGGAAAAAAACCTTCTAAAATGTCCTTTTGATGAACAGAGAGGAATTTTTAGGGGTGTGATCAGTGCCAGGACAGGCACTTTAATGTCATAGAGGTGGAGGAGGTAGTGAGAAGGAAGGGAGAAGGAAGTTACTATTGGGATCCAGGTCAGGTATTGTACTGCACTGTGGTGTAAATGTTAAGGAGCGTAACCAGAGAGACGGCGGGGGCCGGATGGAAGATGGCCTAGTTGATAATTGGGAGGATGATGCATGCTGATGATGCTGATGATAACAACAACAACACAGAGGAGTTTAAACCTCCATTTAGGGACACAGAGAATGAACACTGCCGTCCCATGACAAACAACCGTCCCCATGGGGTCCAACAAGCTGCTGGTGCACAGAGTCGAACATCTGGTACGCCAAGAGAATGTGGGACGTCTGGAGATTCCCCAGGGCAAAAACCTCAAGAGTTTCTGTTCCTTGTGCACCAAATGTACCGTGGTGATCACTGACAAATGAAAGTTTCTTAGCTTTTAGAGTTCATGATATATTTCTGTATTTTAGACACCCTGTCCAAAGAAGAGTTTCATCTGAAACAGAATGTGGAGCCCTTCATTCACTACAAAGAGAAACAAGCCACATTTGAATGCATCACCCGAGAAAACATAGAGGCTGTTGCTTCTAAGGTATTTGATTAGTATGTGTGTGTGTGTGTGTGTGTGTGTGTGTGTGTGTGTGTGCCTGCATTTTTCTGCTTAGGTGTTTGTTCTTTTGAAAAAAAAAAAGGTTCCTCATAGTTAGAAGTGTTTGTATGTAATGCAATAGTTTGAAACACCACTCTGAAATCTGTGCTGTAAGTATGTAGCCGGAACCAGCAGCTGATTAGCTTAGCATAAAGACTGGAAACAAAGGGAAACAGCTAGCATGGTTGTGTTGGTAACAAAATCTGCCTCGCACCTCTGCAGTTTACTAATAAGAAAGTTAAGTCTTGTTTGTTCCCACAGAGCAAAAAAAAATGAAAAAGACAGTTTGTGGTTTGGCAGGTTGTTTTTTGTTGCTGTAAATCAAATGGGATACTTCTGTTTGTATACTTACATGTAGTTTATAGTTCATAGTTTATATTTTTTGCACAATTAAAACACAAAAAAGGCAGGAAAAATTAATACTTCTTATTAAGAACTCAAAAGTACAGAGAGCTAAAAGAACAAACATAAAATAATGTCTAAAATAATGATAATAAAATATGAAAATTGACCTCTACAAGTCATAAATTTAGGAAGATGAAGATCTGATGATTTACGAGTGAATTATGAATTTAACTGTAGATTAGTTGTAAAATAAGTCATGAACAACTCAGGAATATTTCGTTCACTTAAAAGTATTTTGTAAATGAAAACGTATTTGAAAAATATTAGTGTCATAAATAGTGAGAATCTGAAGTCTCTGAAATAAAGGTGCAGATCAGATGTGTGACTCTAACTGGGTTGTGATCCTAACACAACGCTTCTGGAGGACCAAAATTTTATGTTAGTTGGAAAAGCACTTGCCCAAACTACATTACAATATGAAAGAGAGGGATAAATCAGACTATAATAAGGGGTTAGGAGATGACTAACCCTCATTGTTTTCACTAACCCATTCAGTTTGTTTGCTCCAATTCAAACTCTCATCAACAGAAGTGCCCCACATGTTGTACTGGACAGTTGAGGCATCTTAATAGACTCAATTATAACTTTCAAGAAATCTTTAGAGTATATTTTTTTGCCACTAAAGATGATTAAGTTAGATCATCTTATATTTAAATATATTGTATTGGAGAGAACAAGGGTTGTGTCATCTGCAAACATTATTGGGGAAAGGCTATTTGAGACATTAGATGAATCATTTATATGAATGAGGAATAATAATGGTCCAAGTACACTGGCTTTGTGATAAGCTAAACTAAGCTAACATTCCTCTGGCTCTAGCATCCTATTTAGTGCACAGACTTGAGAGTGGTGTCATCATTTAACTCTCCGCAAGATTTGAATAACCCAACTTCCCAAAATGTTAAACTGTTGCATCAAAGAAACCAAAAACTGTTGTAAGATCCCTTTATTTGTTTGATGTGAAACATACCAGCATGTCCTTTTAAATCCTATCAATCTGGCAAAATGCCATCTGATAGAGTGTGTTTTTCTAATTGTGTTATGTGCTTATCTGTGCGTTCGATCATGTACTGTGTGCCAGTGTCTGCATCACACTCTGCATTTATTCAAAGCCCACTGTTTCCACCCGTCACCAGGGCAAACACTGCCTGCTGGAGGCTGAGCTGAGCTGCATCAAAGACCTCCTGCGGAGGGAAATCTACCCAATCATCATCCACTTCAAGATCTGTGAGAAAAATGTCAAGAAGTTACGGTAGGCCCAACAAACCTCACTCATTCTCACACGTTTAGCAAGTGCCTGTTACCCACAGCTGCAAACCACAGCTCATTTTCCAAATGCAAATACGTCAATCCTCGCATGACATTTTGACTCCATGGCATGCAGTAGGTGAGAGCAAACCAGCTTAAGAGCAAGTCTGCTGTTTGACCTTGTGAATGGGACAGTTCACCCAAAAACCACATATTTTTCCTCTTACTTTTAGTGCTATTTGTCAGTCTAGATTGTTCTGGTGCGAGTTGCCGAGTGTTGGAGATATTGACTGTAGACAGGGATGTCAATATAGACAGTGCAGGTAGTGTGGTTGCACTGGGGCATTGGGCCCTCCAACAATGTGTTAGGTGGAGAATGGGCCCTTATGAGTGACTTACACCTTGAAAATATGCCTGTGTTCAAAGAGAAACTCTCATTAAATAAAAAAAAACAGTGCTTTTTGCTATATGCCCTTGAAAAAAGCAAACCCAGCTCCTGCATGTTTATCTTTATTTGTGAAACAGTCAGTAGCATCTACAACAAAATTATATGCTTATTTTATGACTGTAAATCAACTTTTCCATTAATTAAAATAATCTATAACTATAAATCGACTATTAAAATTGTTAAATTGAATTAATAGTACCTTAATTTCCTACTTTCTTTGGTATTTTTTGTTACATACAGATATGTAATGATGATTTCTGGGTAATATGTGTGTTGATGTTATCCAGTGTTAAAGGAGCAATAAGCGAAATTCATCATTTCTAGATTGAAAGAATTAAAAAATCGCTATGTGAAGAACTAGAAATGTAATTTCATCTGGAGTATAGCATTTTCGAAGTGAAATGGCGGAGTCAAATGTCTGTTTTAATTAGTGTTCCAGTAACGTTAGGCACATGTCGCTATGACGATTCAATTAAATTTAATGTTACAATCGTAGCATGGGTTAATGTCCGGAGCTTGAGTTATTAGCGGCTCGGTCCCAGCAATGGGTCAGGCGTTACGGTTGTGTTAGGTGAGTAGCCCGGCAGCCCAGCTAACATTTGCAATTAGCATTGTAAAATGTAGCCTGGCGGGCAGCCTGGCGGCTGTGTTTAGCTATTCCCCTGCCTACTTCAATGATGATGGTCCTTGTAATAAATGTAATATATTTGCTGAAATGGAGGCGAGGCTCAGTGACTAGAAGAGCTGGTAGAAGCGCTCCATAGCGCTCCATAGCTGTAAGTTACTCCAGTAGCCGTAGTAGCTCTAGTGCTAACTCCAGGAGCTAACGCTAACGTCCCTACTCTGCATGAGCTGGAGCCATGAGCCTCGGGCTCACGGAGAAGAGTAGAAACATTAGCGTGGAAGCCTACTGGAAGCAGTGCACAACAGCAAACCTAGCGGTGAAACGATTTCGCTTTTTGCCCCTTTAAGTCTCGGATCATGTGATGAGACGATATGTGCATGAAAGTGTGCACTAGGACCCATCTTAACTACCTTATGTCATTGGCCGTAGGAGCCTGGTCTCACTCCGAAGTTGTCGAAATCCAGCGTTTGGGTAGTGACTTGCAGCATCAGAAACCAACGAAAAAAGGCGTCCTTTAATGTAGGCATGATGCGCGGCCGGTTGCTGTTATAGTTTAATGGTGCCTGATGGCATCGGGGGAAACGTGGCGGGACAAGGACGAAAGTTAAGGTGGTGAAAGTCTGAGTGGGGTGGGGGGAGGGGTGGTAGAGGATGGGTCCAACAAACGCGGACTTTGACCTGAGAGAGTGGTGTTCGCGTCCCGTAAGCTTCTGAAGCTACATCCTGTTCTTTTGTCCTAAACCCAACCCTGTGACGAGGTCGGAGTGAGAATGCGTTGGCCGTAGAGATGTCTGCCTTCTCTCCAATATAATAGAGCTAGATGACACTCAGCTTGTGGTGCTCAAAGTGTCAAAAACATACATTTGAAAAACTCAACAGCAATGTCTCTTTCCAGAAATCATGACCCGGTTACTCAAGATAAACCACAGACCTTGTTGTGAGCAGTTTCATGTAGGAACTATTGTCTTTCTACTAAACTACACCCACCAACTGTTTCATCGTGCAGAAGGAAATGTGCATCTACCCATGGACAAGAGGCTTGCGCTCGTGACAGCACGAGAGGTAAATGTTAATGGTGTCCTCCTTGGCTGAGCTAGTTCAGTGGTGCTAGATGAGCTGTGGAAACACACTTAATTTTTATGCTGTGATACAGTATAAAAATCCGCTTTGAGCATTACAAGCTGAGTGCCATCTAGCTCCATTATATTGGAGAGAAGGCAGACATCTCTACAGCCGATATCTCCAACACTCGGCAACTCACACCAAAACAATCTAGATTAATAAATCGCACTACAGATAAGAGGAAAAATAAGTATCTTTGCTTTGGGTTGAGACCCTGCCTCCTCATATGAAGACATCACAATCTAGGTTTTCTGCACCTTACACTGTACTTCATTCTACTTAACTCAGACCTGTGTCCTCGTTCGTGGACACTTTTTGTCCCATTTAGTGGTAGTAAGAGCCCAACACACTAATCCATGTAAAAACAAGATGGCAGCCATCTCTGCCAAGTCAGTCTGCACCAACAGAAAAGTGGACAAGTTGCAAAACCTGATCACACTGTATGGTTGGAACTTGTTTATATATGATGAATAATGTTTGTAGTTTGATATGGCAACAAATTTGACCAATTTTAGCAACGGTAACAGGATAAGCTGATAAGGAAGTACTCATCTGAGGACACTGGGTCTTTATTGTTGTCTCATTTGAGGATGTTGGGACTTCTTCATGATCAGACTGTCTCTACAGAGAAAAGGACCTTCCTGTCTTGGAGTATGAAAAGAGGAAAATTGATGCTGAGTTTCTAAATGAACACTTATCAGACTTTGTGATTTAGTTTTTGCACAACAACGTTCAGACACTGACATAAACAGTTTATTCTTTATTACACACTGCAACTATCAAAATAAACCCAGTGTCTGCATATGAGGACATCTTTTGTCTAAAACTACTTCCTGTTCAAAGACAATGTTTAGTTTTTATATTCATCAGGTCGAACTGATCCCAAACAGCTCAGAGACAGTAAAAATACGTACCAAACAGAAGCTGAGGTCTCAGGAGGTGAAGCATTTATATGTGCTGCACAGTAAATAGTTGTGAAGTTGAAACAGTGATGGGAGCAGCTGAACACAAGCTTTTCCTGTACACAAACGTGAGAACTGAGCATCTCACTCAAAGCAGCATGTCCTGCTGTGTTTCATTTTAGTGTGTTGATAATATTGTCAGTGGGGATGCATGTTTTCATGTCAACAAACCCTGATGCCTGACATATACTCTGGTGGATTGTACCTTTAAAAAGACAAATAGAATACAAACCCATTATTGTCTCTCTGACAATGACAACAAAGTAGACAAACCACTGTTGCAAAGCATCTACAGGATTTCATCAGAGATCATGGGTTCCAAACATCACCACACTCACCACCGCAGAGCTGCTTCCTTCCTGTTTCCTGTCCACACAGGAAGCTGCCTCTGCGCGTGGAGTCGGAGGAGGAGTTTGTGAAGCTGTGTCGGGCGAAAATGAAGGAGCTGGAGGGCATTCCCTGCCTCTACGCCACCCTGGAGCCCGAGGCCTGGGCAGGGACGGACGACCTCATCAGGGTCATCAAGGAGCGGATACAGGAGGAGCAGAAGAAGACGATCTGGGTGGAGCAGGACCTCCTGTAGACACACACACAGATACACACACATGAGAATGTGTAGCTGAGCACCATAAACACCCTTGTACATCATGCTTTTATGCATATACTATATTTATGCTCAGACTCAAAAATGCACTCACACTGCTTCATTAGAATAAATGCATTATATATTTTGTAAATGTGTGCCTTCACTTTGATTTAGACAAATAAACATATGAAAAATGTTTAACAGGTCTTTTTTTTTTTTACTTTAAACTGAAGCATTTAAAGGGAAGATGTTCAGAGTTCACTAATATGAGCTGCACTTTGATACTACTGTCCTCTAGTGGCTGATGTCAGGCTCTCACATGAGTCAAGTCAAGTTGAATTAAATCACATCAACCTGTTATTTATTTATATACGATGGGATTTTTTTTTTGCAGATTTGTTACGCAGTGCTTCTCCTCAAAATGTTACAGAAATAGAAATGTTACATAAACCGGCAAATCGCTGCTATTTTAACTGAATAAAGTAGAAGAGAACTGAGCGTTTAATGTTCTGGAGGACACAGTACAAGCCTGCACCACATCAGGAGACAGGAAACTGCAGCTTTACATGGACACAAGTGTTTTAAAGGGCTCATCAGTGTTTTAATATAAAGGCAAACATAAGTGTGGTGGCAGTAGCTCAGTCCAAAGGGACTTGGGTTGGGAACCAGGGGGGGTCGCCAGTTTAAGTCCACATCTGGACCAAGTATGGCGCGTGGACTGGTTGCTGGAGAGGTGTCAGCTGGCCTCCTGGGCACTTGAGCAAGGCTCTGACTCCCCAACTACTTGTCCATGGGCAGCCCCCTCACTCTGACATCTCTCCATTTAATGCATGTACATGTTCTGTGTGTGCATGTGTGTATTTCAGGCCTGTCTCCATATCCTCCTGAGACCCTGTGTCCTCATATGTGGACATCACATTTCAGGTTTACTTGACCTTATACTTCATTATACTTAACTCAGACCTGTTGTCCTTGTTCGTGGACACTTTTTGTGCCATCTAGTGGTAGTAAGAGCACAATACACTAATATATGTAAAAACAAGATGGCAGCCATCTCTGCCAAGTCAGTCATCACATTTTATGGCTGAAACTTGTTTATTTATGATTAATAATGTTTGTAGTTTGATATGGAAACAAGTTTGACAAATTTTAGCAACAAAATAAGACACTGTTAATTAGGAAGTACTCGTCTGAGGGCATTGGGACGTAATTATCGTTGACAGTGTGTAGTTTTTTATACTTATCACGTCCTACTGATCCCAAATAGCTAGGAGAAACTAAAAATGCAAACCAAACAAAAGTTCGGGTCTCAGGAGGGTATGACAACAGATTAAAAATAAAAATTGAATTTCCTCTCTGGGATTAATAAAGTATATATTCTTCTTCTTCTTCTTCTTCTTCTTCTTCTTCTAAGTGTTAGTGATGTAAGTCAGTGGTTCTGAACCTTTTTTCCCACCTGACCACTTTAATATGAAGCAACATCTCCGCTGTCAGCAGTCAAATGTCTATAAGTTGAAAAAATAATTTCCTCTTATCAGATTTCATTTGAGTAATTTCCTGAGGCTATACCACATTACACAAGAAAGAAAGAAAGCTTAGAAATAACATCTGATGAAGAAATCATATTCTTAACATCAGGTTTTAGCTGTTGGCTGGTGTTAGTGTGTGTGTTTTAGAAGGCAGTTGCAGGTTCCAGTCATGTGAATTCAGTTTTTTGTGGTGCTACTCTTTCACTTTTATTACATCACGAACTGTGCATTGAAGCTGCTATGTTTTTATGCCTGTTTCATGTAAATATGCATAGTTTTAAGCATTAAATAAGATCACAGTCAACAATAATATCCTCCAAGCTCACTGATTTTAAAGGACTAGCTCACACCGAAACCAAAAATACACAATTTCCTCAGACCTGTACTGCTGTTTATCAGTCTAAAAATCTACCCAATCATCATCCACGTCACGATCTGTGAGAAAAATGTCAAGACGTTATAGCTACAGACGCAAATGCCTGTTACCCACAGCTGCAAACCACAGCTCATTTTCCAAATGCAAACACGTCAATCCTTGCATGACATTTTGACTCCATGCAGGAGGTGAGAGCAAACCAGTTATATGTCTTTAGAACACAGCTGTGGATTTGAATCAGTTAGCTGAGTGTAAACCCTTTAATTTCTGGAACATGGCTTCACATCGTCAAATCTCTCCGTCTGCATCTGCTCTGGTCACTTAATTGATTTCTGCAGCTTATAAATCCATGTGTAGACATGTTTTTTTTTCAAAGGCCACCAGAGGGTCCAATTTGACAGAAATGGGCAGGCAGGCCAGAAGGGGATTTAGAGTAACCTGTTTCATAAGGGAGCTGGATAATCTCTTCATCTGCGGGGAAAGATATGCATACAGAGATATGCAGTATTCCCAGAAATGCTCAGCCACAGTAAGAAACCCAAACACTCTATCAGCTTTAGTTTAGTTTGTACTACTGCATTTTTGCACCATGTAGTGAAATACAAAGCCTTATATTTACACTACTCCTACACTACATAAAGTAGTAAATATATGAAAGTGATAAACATGATAAAATGTGATCTACATCTACAGCTACACAAGAACGTAGGTTTCGCTTCAACATAAAGGGTGTTACAGGGTTTGGGGGTCCTCTGCTAGAAAAATTTTGAGCATAAAACACTTACTTTCCTGCATTCTGGTGTATTCTATGCACCAATTTGAGCTGTTTTGCCTCAATCTATGGTGTAAATGTCTTTGATTTGTCAAAAGTCCTTTGCTACTTACATGTTTTAATTGGGGTAGGCAAATAAATCTACACCTATATATAGGCTACACATACAATATACACCCCCTTTTGCCCTCAGAGCTGCCTTAATTCTTAATGTCACAGATTCAACAAGGTGCTGGAAACATTCCTCAGAGATGTTGGTCCATATTGACATGATGACATCACACAGTTGATCCATGATGAGAATCTCCCGTTCCAGCACATCCCAAAGGTGCTCTATTGGACTGAGATCTGGTGACTGTGGAGGCCATTGGAGTACAGTGAACTCATTGTCATGTTTGAGATGATGTGAGCTTTGTGACATGGTGCGTTATCCTGCTGGAAGTAGCCATCAGAAGATGGGTACACTGTGGTCATAAAGGGATGGACACGCTCAGCAACAATACTCAGGTAGGCTGTGGTGTTTAAACCATGCTCAGTTGGTACTAAGAAAATCTCCCCCACACCATTACACCACCAGCAGCAGCCTGAAGCGTTGATACAAGGCAGGATGGATCCATGCTTCCATCTGAATGTGGTTTTTCCAATCTTCTATTGTCCAGTTTTGGTGAGAAAACCCGTGTGAATTGTAGCCTCAGTTTCCTGTTGTTAGCTGACAGGAGTGGCACCTGGTGTGGTCTTCTGCTGCTGTAGCCCATCTGCTTCAAGGTTGGACAAGGTGTTGTTGCTTCAGAGATGCTCTTCTGCACACCTTGGTTGGAACCAGTGCTTATTTGACTTCCTGTTGCCTTTCTATCATCCTGAACCAGTCTGGCCATTCTCCTCTGACCTCTGGCATCAACAAGGCATTTTGGCTCACTGGATATTTTCTCTTTTTGGGACCATCCTCTGTAAACTCTAGAGATGGTTGTGCTGAAAATCCCGTGTGGCACCAACAACCACGCCACGTTCAAAGTCACTTAAATCACCTTTCTTCATCATTCTGATGCTCAGTTTGAACTTTAGCAGCTCGTCTTCACCATGTCTACATGACTAAATGCATTGAGCTGCTGCCATGTGATTGGCTGATTAACTAATTGCCTTAAGGAGCAGCTGAACAGATGTACCTAATAAAGTGTTTGTCCCAGTATACTGTATGTATCAGTGCTTAGAAATGATGTTAGAAATAATCTCAGTTGCACCTTCTTTTCCTTCTCTTGTAGGTCTCTGGTGTGCTCGTGCTCAATGTGTGTGCGTGTGTGTGTGTGTGTGTGTGTTCAAAGTGCCTTGTTATGAATTTATATTAAGCAAAGCTATGACAACACAGCGGTGAGAGTAAAATCAGAAGTGAGGGTGAATGTGTGACGCTGATTGAAAGCAGATGATGATGATGATGATGATGTGTGTGTGTGTGTGTGTGTGTGTGTGTGTGTTGCAGACTGAATCAGCCGCTCTGTGGGGGCTCCTTGCTACGTTTGATGTCACAGGATGAAAAGAGTTCACAAATAACAGGATTTCTAACCGCATCAGCCTGAGGCAACAGAAACAGACACCGATCCCCCACAGCCACATCTCCTCATTATCATTCTTTGTGTCTAATCTTTTTGGGGGAGTGAAGATGACATTTGTTTTTGCAGGTACAGCAGGTTATTTTCAGCACTCCTCCTGTGGGAGGAGGAGGAGGAGGTGGAGGAGGAGGGTAGACTGTCTACATAAATCATCCCGGAGCAGAGACATGTTATGCTGGAGCTGACCCAGAAAGTGAATTTTTCCCCTCATGAGCTCACTCTGCAGAAACCTCAACTCCAAACTCTCGCGGTGCTTCGCGTGCTCCCGCTCCATCTCCAAGAAAAAAAGGGGACTGCTCGCATCACAGGCTCAGCTGACGCGGCGCTGGGAGCTCGCGGGCACAAAAAGAGGTGAGAAGGTGTTGTTGTTTGTTTATTTTACCTTTCTTATTGTTGTTAAAAGTACCCTAACATTTACCCTCTGAGCTGCTGCAGCGTGTTTACCGCACGTAGCTCCGCTCCGAGGCTGTGCACTACTTTGACACCTAGACACCGCTACAGGCACGCTGACAGCACCGTCTATTGATAAAACCACAGGCTGTACAGAAGCTCGTTGTTTTCTCGCTATTATCTCCACGGAAATTGGACTCGCAGCCCCACGCGACGCTTCCACGAACCGAGCCACATGTCCGCGAGCTTCCCGGTGTGAGGAACAGCCCGTTCCCGCGGCGCTGCGCTCCCCGTCAAAGGCTACATTGTGTCCGGTCTGGCATCCGCTGGCGGCTGCTGCGGACAGGACGGTGTGATTTATGTACCCGCCGTCGGCTGCTCTTTAACGGGCTTTATCTGGCTTTACACCGGCGTTGACGTGGGGGTAAACACAACAAACGTGCACGAGTTATGAGGCGACCAAACCACCGATTTATCACGGTTAACAGCCCCACGGCGCGACTTTAAATCACACTGAGACTTGTTGACGTGATGCTGCCGCTGCAAAGTGTGCACCCAAAATTATTCATGTCGACACTAAGAGACGCGTGGACAGAGGTGTTTCACATCCATATCCCCAAATATTGATTTAATGCTTTAGTAGACAGTGGTGCAGGAAGTAATCAGTTGCATCACTTCGCAGTATCACCCTGAAAATAACAAATACATCACAAGTCCTGCATGTGAATGTTGCTTAAGTACAAGTATAATTAGCAAAGACATAGACAGTGTGCAGATGCTTAAATTTAAAGGTCCAGGGTGGAGGATTAAGGGGGATTTATTGGCAGAAATGAAAAATGTGATATAATAAGGATGCATGAAAATAAGAATTAAATATTGCAATAATTCTGCAGCCCTGCTTTAAAGGTCCAGTGTGTAGGATTTAGTGGGATATTTTGGCAGACATAAAAATATAATCTAATAAGTATGTTTTCTTTAGTGTATAATCACCTGAAAGTAAGAATCGTTGTGTTTTCGATACCCTAAAATGAGCCGTTTATAGCTACATAGGGAGCAGGTCCTTGTTCATGGAGGTCGCCATGTTGTGGTACCATGTTTCTACAGTAGCCCAGAACAGACTAACCAAATACTGGCTGTAGAGGGACATTCGTGTTTTTGCATCAGCCACCGAAGTACTGAGAACCTCTGCGGATAATTTGGCTGCCAGTGAAAACCTTAAGTTTTCTCCTTAAGCATGACACTCGAGGCTTAATTTCTCCTTAAGTGAGGGACCGAGCTAGTTGCACATAATGCTTTAAAAGGTTTCCTTAGTTAAAGAAAACTAATGGAGTGGATAGAGCACTCCATGTGGAAGGTCCAGGGTTTGAATGATGGGGTTGACGTTAGCAAAAGGCATGCAGTTGCAAGAGGTTCCCACTGCCGAATCAAACTGGATCCGAAAAGGAGGTTTCAGGATGAGAGAGTAACTCCGGCATCTGAGTCAAGTCCTCAACAAGGGCGAGTCTCAAGCCCGTTGTAGACGGGAGGTTCCAGACGTAAGAGCAGATTCTTCCTTAGTTATGAGAAAAACATTACTGCTTTGAAAGAGATTTTACAGCAGTAAAAGTTTCCATGGAGATTGTTTGTTTGCTTGGACTCACGCAAAGTTGGCTTATAGTTAGATTGTGGAAAAAATGGCAGAAGAAAAGAAGACAAGAAAACCATATTAGATAGAGGGGGAAAACATTTAACTTCTGGAGGAATACAATCATAAAAAGCACAAACTAAAAAGTAAATTTGATCCCAAATACCAGAAAGCAATTGTAGGAAGAAATTAAAATGAAAAATAATTCAGTCAAATCTAAGGTGTAAAACTGAAAACGTATCCACTGGGTTCACCTGTTGCAGAACACTCTTCTCAGGGTGTGTTTGGTTTTTCCTTTATCACCATAAACTCATGTTGCAGTTAAGACAGAGTCAGGGATACCTGAAGTTTTTTTTTTTACCTTGCTTTGGTTGCCAAGGTCTTTTAACAGTCTAGGGATTCCTTAAGTGTAAGACCAGGACAAGGAGAAAACCCTAAATATGCAAGTAAACATTTTAAGGAAACCTTAAGGAGAAGACTTAAGGGTGTTTTGTGCAACTAATTTTATTTTGAGGAAATCTTATGTAGGACTTTCAGGAAAATGTTAACTTAAGTTGTTTTGTGCAACTGACCACTGGAACTTAAGTTATCAGAGAAACAAGGTGAGGACACACAAGCAGGTACCGGGCTAGCGGCACGTTGACTGCATCCAAGAAACACTAATTTGCCTTAGTCAGTGTTGTTACCAGTTTAAATCACCAGCTTTGGGTACTCCAGCTTCACCAAGAGGAAGCTGGAGTACCCAGAGAAAACCCACGCTGACAAGGGGAGAACATGCAAAGTCCGCACAGAAGGACACCCCCAGGAGGGGAGGTTTCCTGTCGCTTTTAATTAAGGTTTGCTGACTTTTTTGTGTTGTTTTTTTATGACGTCAGGAAACTTAGGATGAAAAAGGGTTTTTTTTTTTTGAAATTACAGAATTCACTGTAGAAGTGAGTCCAGTGTGAGTGAGAGTGACTATTCTAATCATAGGTTTCACTTCCTCCACAGTTTTTCCTCAGCTGTAGTTGAAACTGTGAATTCTGGTCTTAATCATATCCAGCAACTAAAATCACGTCAGATGGAGATCCCTGAAGGGAAACCTCATGTCATTAGGGGAATGGTTAAGAACCAGTGCTGTAGCCTGTGTAAAGTCTTAATTTGTAAAGTAAGTTATCACTCAAGCTGTCCTATAAAAATAGTGGAGTAAGAAATACAATATATTTTAGAGCTGAAAGGAATCAATTTGTCAAAAACTAGTGGGCTAATATTTCCATGATAGATTAATCTTTGACTGATGCTTTTTGCACCTAGGTGTGTATTCCTGGGCGTCCCAGCAGCATCGATATATGACGTTAACTTGAACAGGTCTAAAGTTTGTGTACACAGTAGGGGTGTAACGGTACACAAAAATCACGATTCGGTATGTGCCTCGGTACACAAGTCACGGTTCGTTTTTTTTTTGGTACAGTAATGAAAAAAATAGACAACTATTAAATATCTTTTACTTATTGGTAACTTTATTAAAACATACCACCACAGCAGTTAACTCTTTTTACACAATTTTTGAATGAAACAAATATATATAAAATCCTGCTTTTTCACATTGTTTGAATGTAAATAGAAATATATAAAAGTGAAAAATAAAATCCTGCTGTTTTTTTAACACATTTTTTTGAATGAAAAATATAAATATAGATTTCTGCCTTAACAGTTTTACTCAATTAAAATAAAAAGTATAGTGCAGCTGGTCAGCTTTAAAGCCTGCTCAGATTCAGTTTTACTAGGAACTTACTTAGCTTTCCCACTTTGTTAAAGTGCAGTAAACAAAACATGCTTATATCTAAAGTGCAGCTTAAACAATTTTACTCAACTCCAATAGCGTTGGTTATTTCTTTAGCGCGATGGTCAGGGAAACGCTCTTTCTTTTTAAACGACGACGATATCGTAGTTTGCACCAGATTGCTTTTTCTAGTCGTGCCGGTTAACGTTCAAACTCGGGTGGTGTCGCTTTAGATGTGTTAGCATGTTAGACGTGTTTCCAAGTACATACCCGACCGCTGTTCTGCAGTGTTGGCACACTGCTTTTGTCTTGTCAACTTGTTTATTTCCATCTTTGTATTTTACCCTGAAACCAAAGTGTTCCCAAACGGAGGACTTAAGGTTTGGGGGTGGGTCTTCAGGTTCGTCAGGCTCACTTGCCATGTTGTCAAAATGCGAGAATGCGCTGCACAAAGTAAAGGCAGAGATTTATGGTCGGACTCGGTCCGTCACTCAATTATGTCCGTCGGGGAACTAGATATTTTAAATGGTTCGGCTCGCAAAAACGGAATTAAAATAAAACAAAATAAAATAATATCCTGTGCCCAATAATTCGGTACAGGGTCGTGCCGAACCGAAAGTCGCGTACCGAACAGTTCGACACAAATACATGTACCGTTACGGCCCTAGTACACAGTGTGCATTCAGCAGCTTTATACATCCTAAAACAACTTTGACTCACATGGGACTCAAACCCCAGTCTCCTGTGTGACAGTCCTGTTGCTTAACTCATCTCCTAACCCAGGTCTCCTGACTCTCTGGCAGTCAATGTGCGAGTTTTTCTCGTAAATTTACCACTTTAACCTCGGAGAAAATCCAAGATTGGATAGTACTAACCCCAACCATGACTAATCCTAACTGCTTCCAGCCTCGAAGCGCCAACATAACGAGCACTAACTTATCACAGCAGGCAGTATGATCCATAATGATGTGTCATGGGGATACAGCCCAATAGCTGCAGTGTGACTGTTTTTAGCCAGGAGCATATAGACACTCCAATAATCTTGTCAGCCATATGTGAAGATGATGTGTTTTATGGCTTCGGCTCTCAGTTTAAGGTAAATTGAATATCTTTGGGTTATAGAGTGTTGGTCGGACAAAACAACACATTTAAAGATGTGGTTTTCGAAGTGCGTTTCACCTCTCATCCAAGAAGCTTCTTCAGTTCTAACTGACTGGTGCCGAGTCGCAGGCTTTAAACTCTGTGTGGGTGTGAACCCTTTAAGAGGCAGTGAGGTCACACAAGAGTTGTTGACCCACCCGGCCATCATGTGTGTCATTAGGGTGAGATGGGTCCAGGTGTGAAAGGGTGTTAAGCTGTCTGGGGAAGTGGGGCCTGAGGTCACCTCTTCTTTTTAACGATGGTTGTGCTGTGTTTGACGTAAATGGCTTCCTCTTACAAACTGTCCATCTTCTCTGGCCAAGATGTGATTGCCATCCTCGAAGGAGTGTCCCTTCTCCTTTTGATGTAAAAGGTCGACTGAGTCTTGACCTGAGGAGCTGGCTCTCCTGTGCTGTGCTCTAAAGAAACTCAAGCAGAGAGAAAGTCTCTGTCTCTGTCCGAGAATCTTCACTTTAAGATGTCTCCTTACAGCGGGTATTTTCCCCAGTTTTTTGGCATTTTACAGACAAAAAGTGTCATTTGATTAATCCATCATCAGAATAATCTTCAGTTGCATCCCTGCGATATTTCCTCTGAACTGTGGTGGAGTTGAAGTAGACCTATAAACTAGCATGTAGTACTGGGTAAGAGTGCTCTCTTTTCTAACTTTAATTTCAGTAAATCCACCTTCCTCATTCCACCGCTGACAGAACATGTTCATACGTCCTGTCCTTGCTATGCCTGATTTAATGCACATTATGGGACAGCAGTCGATTCATTGGTGTGGCAAAGAGGAAGAGGAGTGTAGTCTGCAGCCTCTGGAGAGGGGAATGATGATTTTCCATGTCAATGGTCTCCTCTCAGCTTCAGGAAAGAGGAAATAATATGACGACTGTTGCATGAGAGCTCCAAATATAGAAGAGTGTCAGAATGGAAAAGTGACGCCCTGTGACTTTTAAACTGAGCACAAGAAGAAGGAGAGGACAGTCTGTAGATAAAGTGGTAGTAAGAAATTGTGACTAAGACAAGCCACAGGTAGAGCAGACACAGGCCATCTTTCTTCAGCTCACCGTGGACTATTTTGTGCATCGCATGAGCACAGTAAGCTTCAGTGTACATGCGGAACGTATCTTGGTTAGGTGTGTGAAATATTTGCTACTGGCCCTCTTTCAAAGGTTGCTAACATAGGGGCTTTTATTACCTCAGGGTTGCTCAGTATTAAAATGTGCCCATGCTGTACCATAGTCTATAGGAAGCCTGGTATGGGTACAGCAGGATACTTGTGCAGTGCAAAAGTTATTACTTTTTGGTATGCAGAGCCCTCTGGCATGCACACATTTGACAACCACTTGTGATTTTACTGCTGGGAGTGGGAGTTGAGTTCACTCTGAGAGGTGAAGGAGAAATTCAGTTCAAAAATGTGAAGCCAATGCGCTGTCAGACTCGCTCACACTGCTCTAGTTTTCAAGCCTTTTTTAACAGAAGAGCAAGAAAACCTCATTCACATAAGAACTTTTCCTTCGTACTTTATTTTGTCCTGATAATCTGTAGTCCGTCTCTTTTTGTAATGTTTTCATTAAGACCGCCTAAACTGAGACCAAGTCATGATCAAAACCAGTGTATAGAGACTGAGACATGACATAAAGGGGTTGAGACCAAGTCCAGGCCAGAGTGTCCCACACTGCATGACACACTTATGATAAAATGTGTAACACGCAAGCCACAGTCAGTCCTCAAATTAATCTGAAAGATCCACATTCCCACAAAAACACCAACAGAAAACAAAGAAATATTCCTCTTCATTCACTTTTTTATTGCCATACTGTATATATGTGTATAAGTGAACCATGAAAAAAGACTTGATAAAATCATGAAAAGGCTTAGCAGAGCAGAGGCGATCTTGTTTCCTCATCTAGTGGTGAGGATTGCAGATTTCAACCAGCTGAAACTTCGTCAGTGGTCATTGTTCAGGAGGTTTTTTATTGTGAGCTGAATTATCAGCAGAGGTCTGTTCCTCTCTAAACAAACGGTGATTTAAATCCAGCGTTCCCATTTTTATCACTTTGGAAAAGTGATAAAAATTTGTTCTGTGTAATGAAATTGTCACAGTAATCCTCCGTGGATAACCTTCCATAAAATGTAACATAACAGCAAATGTATTTTCTGTAGCTGACTGCGGAACGTAACTCTAATATGCATCATTGTGTGATAACGTTTTATTTCCTCATTTTCTTCTGTCTCTCCCTCTTATGTTTAATATTTGATCTTTATTTCAGACATGTTAAATAAAGACACGAATATACAAACAAGCAGACAGACAGTAGTATTTACAAAAATTCAAAAGCATAATGTGAAAGCAAATTGTCAATGTACAGTTAGTTTGATTTACACAACCGAAAAGGAGTGGGAGGAAGTATAACCTTATTAAATTACACCCCCTCTCCTTGAGTTATTGAGTGAAAAGAAACAGGCAGCTTCCTTATATAGATAAACGTATACCCTAGACTTTTATAAATATATAGTTTTTATTACCATTTAACTTTGTTACACAAAAATAATCCTTAATTACCAAATATCTGTCTTACAAAATATAAACTTGTCTTAGTATATAATATATATATATATATATCGAGAGAATGCCAAGAGTGTGCAAAGCAGTAATCAGAGCAAAGGGTGGCTATTTTGAAGAAACTAGAATATCAAACATGTTTTCAGTTATTTCACCTTTTTTTGTTAAGTACATAACTCCACATGTGTTCATTCATAGTTTTGATGCCTTCAGTGAGAATCTACAATGTAAATAGTCATGAAAATAAAGAAAATGCATTGAATGAGAAGGTGTGTCCAAACTTTTGGCCTGTACTGTAT